GTAACAGAGTAGGTACAGAGTCTCCCGGGGGAAAAAAAAACTACCTTTGCCCTTGTGGATTTTTTTTAGGCTTGAATCCCCTATTTGCAATGTTGTGAAGTTAGATAAAACTATATCTTCAAGTGGTGCTGAGTGGTATTTTCCCGGTTAGAGGAAGAATGGGAGCGCGGCCCTGGGCCGTTGGCCGTCCAGACGACCATATCTGTGTTCTCCTCAGGCAGTACAAAAGTAACACCTGGCCTTTCGGCCCGGAATCTGCCGCCCTGAGCCGTACGGGTAGGGCGGGATATAAATCCCAGAATAAATAAATAAATAAATAAATAAAATAATCTGTCTCCGCTTGATGCTCACTTCCCTGTCTCTCCCCTCCCAAAACAGCACATCTGCTTGGATTGCAAAAAGAATTTCTGCCCGGACTGTTCCCACCAGCCCGAAAGCGGCCCCTGCCTCTGCCTCCTCTGCGAGCGGTTCCGCGCCACGAACTTCCAGCGGGAGGAGCTGATCAAGATGAAGGTGAAGGACTTGCGGGACTACCTGGAGCTCCGGGAGATCTCCACGGAGATGTGTCGCGAGAAGGACGAGCTGGTGTTTCTGATCATCGGCCAGCAGGCCCCCGTCCCCCAAGGGGACAGGACTACTTGGGCGACGCCATTTACGACGGACTCCGCCGTGCCACAGCCGGACTTTGAGGCTGTGCCGCAACCCGGATTGCCGGACCCTACCTCAATGGAGGTCTCCCCAGTTTGGGACTCGCCAGATCTGGCCTCGCAGACCGAGGAAACCCCGCAGGTACCTTCCCGCCTCCACGTGTCTCTTCCCAAATCCCGTCGACTCTCTCTCGCCTGCTCTCTTGGAAACCCGTCGTATTCACTTGCTTCATTTATCTCCCACCTTCCTCTCCAGCGGAGAACCGAAGCGGCTTGCATCCTTCTCTCCTCCGTTTTGTCCTCACAACAGCCCTGTGAGGTAGGTTAGGCTGAGCACGCACCGCTCGTCCAGAGTCACCCAGCAAGCCTCCGTGGCAGAGTGGAGATCTGAGCCTGGGTCTCCCAGGTCCTAGTCTCACATTCTATCCACCGCAGCACGCTGGGCTCTCCTTGCAGACTTGGTGACCTTCCGATTATTTTGGCTTCCAGGGTCCACTGCTTGGGGGTGCTGATGTGTAGCCGCCGCACGGGAATGCCGTCTTAAAAACAGGGTGCCCTGGGAGAGACGGTGGCTCGCGTGCAGGAAAGAGTCCCCAGCGATTCAGACTCTGGGCATTTTCAGTTTAAGAATAGGTCTGCAGGGCTTTTTTTTGTAGAAAAAGTCCAGCAGGAACTCATTAGCATAATAGGCCACACCCAGCAGCAGAAACCCATTAGCATATTAGGCCACACCCCCTGACTGCACCACTCATTAGCATATTAGGCCGCATTCCCATGTTACCAGAAGTGTGGTCATCCAGCCACACCCACCTTTTGCTTCTTATTCTGTTTACCTTGTTTGTTGTCAAAACCCAGGGCCTTTTTTTGTAGCAGGAACTCCTTTGCATGTTAGGCCACACACCCCTAATGTAGCCAATCCTAATGAGTTCCTGCTGTTGGGTGTGGCCTATTATGCTAATGAGTTCCTGCTGGGTGTGGCCAACTCGGGAGCTAGCCGGAACTCCGTTCCTGTGCGTTCCTGCCCAAAAATAGCCCTGGGTCTAGGGTTGCAGGCCTGGGGGAGGTCCCCTCTTTCCTCGAGGCCCCCGGGGCTGCTGCCATTGGGAGGAGGTGATCGTTCAGCCAGCTGGATCCGGGCAGAGAGCTTCAGGCACTCATGTCGATTTACAGACCTTTTCTCAGCTCGTGCTTAGGAGGCTCTGTTAAAAATTAATGTGGAAATTCCTATTAAGTTGCCGCTGTTTACATACCTTCTGGCCGGCTCATGGGGCCGCAGGCAGCTGCAGCTTTCTCTAATCTCTCCCCGACTTCGGCGACTGACCTCACCCTTCTCCGCTTGCGGGCTTCTTCTGCAACCGCCCCTTGAGAATCTCTTCTCTAAGAAGACCCTTGTAAGGCGGAAACGATTGCATTTAGCCTCCAAAGTGCAGCCAGGGAACGCCTCGAGACAACTCTGCCGGGGCCATGGATCCTCCTCTGCACACTTCCTAGGGGGTGTGCACTTTGAATTCGGTGGGGCTCCCTTTGGAGTGAGCGTGCGTGGGATCATACTGCAGATACATCAGAGTTTGGTAACTTAAGGATCACAGTTTCCCTCCCACCCTAGTGCATTTCAGGCACTTCTGGATTCAGAGAGAACCTTGCAGACTTTTGGACGGTGCCTAAAGAGGTTTCAGACGCTGGGGAAGAGTTAAGGGGGTTCAGAGCCTTCTCTCTCTCTCTCTGGTATTTTTGCATTTTGTGTGCGTGCGTGCATGTGTGCCCGTGCCTGGAAGTCATGGCGACCTCTGGTGACTCCTTACGGGGCATGGAGGACGTTCAGAGAAGTGGCTTGATGGCCTGCCTCTGGCCTTGGTATTCTCTGGAGGTCTCCCATCCAAATACTTTCCAGGGTCGGCCCTGCTTAGCTTCTGAGATCTGACGAGATCGGGCTTGCCTGGGCTATCCCGGTCAGGTTCAGAGCCCTCTCTTTATTGTTTTTTAACATCTGTACACCCACCCACCCCTGGCTCATCAACCAGTAGAGGGTTCTTGAGGCAGTTCAGAAGCACAGACTATCTCACATACTGTAAAACCAAATATTAAAAGCTACATTAGAGAGCGTAGAACTTGGCAGAGACTAGCAACTGAAACCCAGTAGCGGTCCAACAGAGTACTAAAAACCCATACTAAAATCTTACAAGGCAATTAAAACAGTAATAAAATAGCATGGACTTTAGTTAAAGAGTGATAAAGGACAAACAGCCACACAGCCGTCAGCGTGGCATCACAGATAACTTCCCAAACCAGGGATGAAAAAACCTTTATAATGTACCTGCTTAGCTAGAAGTTATTTATTTAGCTATTTCATATCACACTTTTCTCTCTAGTGGGGACCCGGAGTGGCTTGCCGCCTCCTTCTGCCTCCTCCACTTTCTCCTCACCATGTGAGGCAGGTGAGGCTGAGGGGTTGTGACTGGCCTAAGGTCTCCCAAGCGTTCTTCGATGGCAGAGTGGGGATTTGAACCCGAGTCTTTCAAAACCCAGTCCGACACTGTAGGCCACTCCACCCACTGCTTTCCACGAAAAAGATTCATTTGGCACCAAAGGCATGCGGGACATTCCACAGATTGCGAACCGCAACTGTCTATTCTTACTGTTTGTCTGCCGTACAAGAACAGAGGGAAACCCAGCAGCGCCTTGGATAAATGTCTCGGTAGTGGGCAAGGTCTGCAGGGGGTAGAGATGTAAAATTTCCGGAAATTTTGAAGCTCGGAAAAAAACCCGGTTTTTTTCCGGGAAAAACGGAAATTTTCGGAAAAATTGAAAAAAATGCTACATTAGCATTTCTTTTGTCTTTTCTAGCTTGAAATTCATTCTGTTACTTTAGGAACATAAAATATGACTATGGACATTTTTACTTGGCATGAAATTATCACAACTATCATATTAAAAATATAGTGTATCCAAACAATTATTACAAACAGCATACCCATCCACATGCAAAAACAAAACTGAAACTTGTTTATTTTCTTCTGACAAAATCGCACTTCCTAAAGGAAGAAATGCATCTTGTTCTTGCATTGGAGAGTTCAGTTTGTAACCTAGGACTTGCTTGTCCTCAGTGCACAGAAATTAGATCAATCTGATACCATATATATATATTTTAGAAATGATTTGGAAAATATTTGAACACCTTGTCTTAAAATATTTTATTCATCATGTTAAAATAAAACGTTCCATAATCAATTTTTTTTCTTTTCTTTTTTCAATTTTTCCAATTTTTCGGAAAAAAACCAAAAAGGCTTCAGGAAAAAAACGGGGAAAAAACATTTCCCCCCCGAATTTTTCCGGTTTTTTTCCGGGCCTTCACATCTCTAGCAGGCGGGCAAGCATCCGGATCCCAACCCATTTAGGGGTTTAAAGGTCATAACCAGCATGGAATGATGGTACGAAGACCAGCACGAGATGTTCTCGACCATTAACGGTTGTCTGATGGCAGTAGTTTTTAGACTAAGTGACCTTTCAGACCGTTTTGAAAAACAGCCCTCCGTTAAGCGGGTTACACTAATCCAAGTCTGGAAGTGATCAGAGCATGGATAACCGCTCTGAGTCTTCGGGGAAAGGCCATGGGCCCCCCACAGCCTGAGCAGGGCAAAGGCATTCTTGCATACCACAGAGAGGACCTTGAAACAGAGAGCCTGCTCTTCCAGGGGGCAAACGCGGTCCCGACCGGAACAAGCCGGCACCTCAATCTGCACTGTCGATCGACAGTCCGATCAGGATTGAGCTTCAGCTTATCGGTCTGCGTTTGTCCTGCTAACCGCCTCCCAGCAATGGAACGGCACATCCGTGGGCCCACCTGGGTCAGATGGGAGGGAGAGAGGAATAGAACTGGGTGTCATCTGTATGTTGATGACACTGTGCTCCAAATCTCTGGATGAACTCACCCAGCCTTTTTTGATGCAGAATTTAAAAAGGGGGAGGAGAGGGAAGGAGGGAGAGAGAGACGCTTGGGGGGGGGGAACTCTATTACGTCAATGCTAGGGCGCAAAACAGTTACTCCCAGCACCACCAGCTAGCAGCAGCTGGCCAGGGAGGACTTGCTTTTCATTCACGAAAAGGGAATGAGCTGTGCAAAATGAGACAGTGGGCAAACTGGGATCATTCAGTTAGGTGCTTAGGAGGAGCAGGCGAGTAAGCACAACTCAGATTTCGGGAGGGGCCGTTTCAGCTGCCCCAGTTGTCTAGACACTGCCGCTGTGTCTAAAGGTACCATCTTGGCTTTGTTTCTGATGGGGAGGTGTCAGGGTTCAATAGTCAGGTCACGCAACACAGCGCTTCATAAGAAGAATTCTGTTTATTGGTACACCAGGACTATGATGACACGTGTACTGTTTGTGTCAGGAATGACCAGGAACAGTAAGGCACCCTGAGTTATACTAGAATCAAACATGTACCCCCCCTCCCTTAGAAGCAAAGCCAATAAGCAAAGTTCACAAGCGCAGGGAAAGAAGGCGGGCAAAAATAATCGCCGTTGGTTCCCAGGAGAAGCTGAGAGCAGCTGGAGCGGCCCAAGGTCAAGGAAAAGGTAATATGCAGACAGTGAAACTCAGAGGCAGGCAGAGCAAGGTGGTTTCCGCCTCCACACACATTCCAAGAGCATGGCAGAGCTACCTGACATCAGGGTGCCTTCGCCCGGACCTTCCCCTCGACACCCACCTTGTGTGGTCTCTTGGCGACTCTCCCCCTGCGTGCCTTGTCAGTGCCCCCCCCCGGTCTTCTCCACTAGGGACGAGATCCCCTGCTGGGAGGGTGACACAGCTGAAGGACAGGAGCACCCAGCTCCCCTGCAGGCCAATTGTGGGGTGCTCTTGGGGCCGGCGTTACTGTGTCACAGATAGCTGGGCTGCCTGCATTCTCCCGTGATGTCACGGCGCGTCACAATGGAAACAGGGCAGAGCAGAGCCAGGCCTTGACAGCATTGCCTTTTGGGGGCCTTGTGCAGCACAGTCATAATTGCCTCGTGGTGGCTTCCTCGGAGGCGGCACCCTAGGATGTTACTGCTCAAACCCAGGCACTCTTAACAAAGGCTTAGATACCAGCAAGGTGGGCTTCTCCAGCAAATTTCCGACACGGCCACAAACTGGTTTGTGCATCCAGCGGGTCCCTTGGGCCTTCCTTGGCTTCTCCTCGTGGCTCTTTCTGTGTTCTGAATTATCTTCCCGGGTATCCCAGAGAAGAGCTCGAGCAGACCCCGGGACCCCAGTCAGACCCTCTTCCTTCTTGGGTCTTTTTAATAACATGTTTTCCTCTCTTAGGCAAATGGGCATGTGCCACTGAGCCAAGGCGACATGGGAGAAGTTGAGAACGCTGTTGAAGCACTGACCGAGGAGGAGACGCAGGTAGGGGCAGGCATATGACACCGCCCTGTGAGTGGACAATGGAGGCAGGAAGGTTGCATATTGGCTGATCTCTCCCCCCCCCAATTTGTACTGGTGTGACAGTTTGCTGCATGTTGCTGATGCGGGGGGGGGGGATACAGTTGCTAAGCAAACCTTTCCCCTCCCCCCGTATGTCCGTGTGTGTGTGCGTGCATGTGTGTGCGTGCGCACCTGGAAGTCATGGCGACCTCTGGTGACTGACCCCTGCTGGGGGCCTGGAGGATATCCAGAGAGGTGGCTGAATAAAGCCTGCCCCCGCCTCCTGCCTCTGGTATTCCAAGGAGGTCTCCCTTCCAAGTACTTGCCAGGGTCGGCCCTGCTTAGCTTCCGAGATCTGACGAGATCGGGCTTGCCTGGGCCATCCAGGTCAGGGCAATCACTAAGCAATTCTGAAGCACGCCGTACCCTGAAAAATGTTCTGGGAACGATCGCTGATCTCTCCGACAATGAAAACTTGGGTGAACAGGATTTGGGGATGTGAGCCTCTTTGCCTCTGGAGGATGTGTGGGCTGAACTGCCGTCGTCGGTACGATGGTGCCAAGTTGGGTTGGCCAACTGTCATCCCCTGCCCCCCCTCCCGTCATTCACTTGCAGAGTGGACACAGCATGGAACCTGTTTCCACATTGCTGGGCTTTTTGCTTTTTGCAAAATGTGCAAATACACCCCTGGAATCACTTTGGCTGAGAAACACTCTCTCTAACACATATGCTTGCTCATTTAAAAGAAAAAAAATAATCCTAACCCATTAGGATCAGCCGTTAGCAATTCATTTTCAGCAATGCGAAAGCACACATGAAGTGCAAGCCGAGATCCCAAAATCCAGAAGCCATTAATGACCTCTATGGCTTGCCATCAAAGGCTCAGAGAGAAGAAGGCTTCAGCCAGGAGTCGAAAAGAGAACACAGTCAGTGGCTGGTGAATGTGCCCCGAGAGGGAGTTTCACAATCTGAGCGTTGTCACTGTGTCCAAGGTTCCCTCTAAGCTGTGCAGTCTTGTGAGCAAAAATTCTACTTTGTGAGCTACTGGCATTAAAGTTGTGAGCAAGCAGTTTGGCTACTGCATAAATTAGTTTACTCTGGAGCCATCCTTCCTGAGCTAAGACAAAAATGTGTGAGCCGGAGGCTAAAAAACTGTGAGCTAGCTCACACTAACTCAGCTTAGAGGGAACATTGACTGTGTCCCTGAGGACTCTGTTGCCTCACATCTGGAGAGGGTTACGTGGAGCATGGTCTTTGATTTGCATTTATAATGGGGTGTGTTGGAGTCCATACAGGACAAAGCAATCCCTTTAAAATTAAGAGTTCCAGTTCTCCTTTGGAGTAAGTGCGTTCCAGTACAACAGACAGCTGGTTTAGCCAACTGGAAGACACAAAGAGGTTTTTAGGACCCATGCAGATGTGACTCCAGCTGTTTCCAGCAATCTGGTGGTCCTACTTGGCTGTGTTTGAAACATGGGGGGGGGAGAGGAGGTGTTTAACCCTTTCCCTCTCATGCCTCTTCCATTTACCTTCTCCTGTGGAGCTCACCGAAGCCCTGGATTGGGAGTGTTTTTCAAACTCCTGAAGAGGCAGGAGAGGAAAGCGTTAATCATCTCCTTTCCCAGTCTTCAAAGCAGCTAGATGGGGCTGCTAATTAGCATTTGTAAAAATAAATCAAAGCCCAAGTGACCCCTAATCATGGTTCTCTTGCATCACACTTTGCTTAAGACTTCTGAGAATTCTTCTGAGAATCCAGCGGCATAGAATTTACAAGCCCGCATGTGGCAGATGGAGATCGGCCTTGTCTGATTTTGAGCTATTCAAGCTACAGTGATCCGGTCTTGAAATCTGCAATGTGATGTCTTTCAGTCCACCGACTCGGAGGAGACCTTGGTCCTGGGACGCAGGGCCTCGCTCTCGGACCTGAAGAACATGCAGGACATTGACGCCCTCTCTGTGCGGCAGCTGAAGGAGATCCTCGCTCGCAACTTTGTGAATTATAAGGGCTGTTGTGAGAAGTGGGAGCTGATGGAGAGGGTGACCCGCCTATACAAGGAGAAGTACCTTCAGCAGCTGGGTAAAGGCTTTAACAAGTAAAAAACACGCTGATCTGTGCGCTCCCCCCTCCCCCGTTTCCGATGACAGCAATTGGATCTCTGTTGGACTAAAAAGTCCGTCTTGTCCAGTTTCTCTAAGTGTCCAGGATGCTCATGGCGAGTGCATGAAAGCTACAGCCCCGCCTCTGCCCCCTCGCAACTGTTGCCCAGAGGCACGTTGCACCCGAGAATGGAGGCTCCGTTTGACCACCGTGGCTGGTAGCTTTCGATAGACCCTCCATAAGCGTGTGTCTTACCTTTGAAGTTGTCTAAGCTGGTGACTGTGACTATGTTCCTATGGCCAGAGAGTTCTGCAAGTGAATTAAGAAGCACTTCCTTTCTGCCTTTCTCCTCTTTGCTGCTGGGTTTTGGGCGGGGGTGGGGTGGGGGGTCAAGCGCTCCAGCTCTGCCTTGTGGTCCCCGGTGCTGTATGGGGCATCGGCTGCTATTTGTCTTCCTGCCTCTTCTCACCCAGGACAAGGCTTGGGGAAATGCCCTCCTGGATCAAGTAACTGCTATATCAGAAAACCACTTAAAAATCTCCTTCCAGCCATCTTCCAAATGCTGGTATAGCAAGCCACGTGCCTCTTTCACGAAGCAACAGTGTGCCCTTCTCCCTTAAAACCAAATTGGGGGGGGGGGCTTGGCTCATTCCTCTCGAGTTTGGCTGCAACAGCCTTTGCACAAATGCTCCCATTGGGCTCAGCAGTTTTTTCCCCTTTTTTCTTTTTCAGTTTCCGACACAGATGATCAAACCGGTGAGTAGTTTTATCTTCTCAAAAGGGCGACTGGGCGGGATCCTTCAGCTGTTTAATAGGAGAGAGGAGTCTCTGCCGTGATCTCCTATTCCGAAGGCAGACAGTTGTGAATCTCGCCCTGCTTTGTGTTCTCTTGAGTTTCAAAGGAAGGCAGTGGTTTATTTACTAAAGAAAAGGAGAACTGGGGCTTATTGGCCACAGGCAGCGTGGTTATCGCTTTAGGTGCAACGATGAACACACAAAAGCTGCCTTCTACAGAATCAGACCCTTGGCCAACAAGGTCAGCATTGTCTACTCAGACTGGCTGTCAGGTAGAGGTCTTTCACATCACCTGCTGCTATCTGAGCCTTTTAACTGGAGATGCCAGGGCTTCAACCTGGGACCTTTTGTGTGCCTGGAAGGTGCTCTGCCACTGAGCCACAGACTCACCCCCGAAAATATGCTGCAGCTGTCCCCTGAACATACCCAAAGCTCCCTTATACTGAACCAGCCATCGGTCCATCAAGGTCAGTACTGTCTACTCAGACTGGCAGTGGCTTGCCAGGATTGAACCCGGGGTCTTCTGCATGCAAAGCAGTGGCTCTCCCACTGAGCCACAGCCCCTCCCCTGTGGCGTGCAAGGGGTCCAGGTTCAGAAGAGACCCGCTCTCTGAGGAGATCTTTTGGGAGGCGCTGCAAGCTCAATGGGAAGAGCACCTTTTTTGTGTCCAGAAAGTCCAAGGATCAGTCTCGAGCACCTTCAGTTTAGGCCAGCCTAATCTTGTCACAAGGCGCTGCGGTGGCTCAAGTGGTTAAGACGCTGAACTGCAGGCTGCGGAAGGTCAGTAGTTCAGCACTTCGAGACCCGGGTGCCGCATGATGGAGTGAGCTCCCATCTCTAGTTCCAGCTCCTGCCAACCTAGCAGTTCGAAAGCAAGAAATTGCAAGTAGATAAATAGGTACCACTTCAGTGGGAAGGTAACAGGGTTCCGTGCGCCTTGGTGTTTAGTCATGCCGGCCACATGACCACGGAAACGTCTTCGGACAGCGCTGGCTCTTCGGCTTTGAAACGGAGATGAGCACCACAACCCTAGAGTCGGATTCGACTGGCTTTCGAGCAAGGGAAACCTTTACCTTTACCTTTAATCTTGTCACACCTCGGAATCAAAGGAGGGTCGGCCCTGGCTAGTATATGGATGGGAGACCTCCAAGGAAGTCCAGGTTTGCTGTGCAGAGACAGGCGATGGCAGACCGCCTCTGAACGCCTCTTGCCTTGGAAACGCTACGGGGTTGCTGTGGCTTGATGGCATGCGTGCAGGCACAGGCACACAAAGGGTCACGGGTGCTGAGAAAAGACCTCCTCCTGCCAGTTTTCCTGGAAGCCTGCTGTCAGCCAGAGTAGACCCTACTAAGCTAGGTGAACAGATGGTCAGACTTGCTATAAGGCACCTTCGTGTGTTTCTTCAGCATGTGCATCCTAGCATTTGGACTCTCTGACTGTAGAAATGTTACCCCCCCCTTCCACTCCACTCCACTCCAGAGCAGTGTAGTAAGATGGAATAACTCCAGAGGCGAATCCAGAAACCGCAAGGGAAATAGCTGGCTCTATTGCATGGCCAGGCAGTTTTTATCTAGTTAAACAACAAAAGCACCAGGATAGATGCAATATATTGGAGGATGGGAGATTAACATGGGTTTTGCAGAAGGAAGTGGTGCATTGCAAACCTGTGGAGGCTGAGCCGATACGACATCCTTGGTCTCAAGCCATCTTCAGGCAAGTCAGCTCCTCTCTTGAATAGCCAGAAGCAACGATCCCACCTGAGAGATCTGCTGCTGGAAGAAGAAAGTACTAAACAGAAATGGGGTTCTGCCTTTACATCTTACAAAGCATCACCCTGGAGAGAAGGAGCAGGACCCGAGGCGGCATACAAGCTGAGAACGGTGGAAGCCAGTGTTCCCTCTAAGCTGAGTTAGTGTGAGCTAGCTCACAGTTTTTTTGCCTCCGGCTCACACATTTTTGTCTTAGCTCAGGGAGGATGACTCCAGAGCAAACTGATTTATGCAGTAGCCAAAATAGCTTGCTCACAACTTTAATGCCAGGAGCTCACAAAGTAGAATTTTTGCTCACAAGATTCCACAGCTTAGAGGGAACACTGGAAGCAACCCTTCATTTGTCCCATTAATATCTGGTACTCTGAGGTATACTGCCTCTGAACGTAGAGGTTCTGTTCTTGGCTGTTTATGGCTGCCACACGCCAACAGATCTTTTCCATTTATCGGTCTGATCCTTTCCAAGTAAGCAAAGTGGCCATCACCACATCTTGTAGCAGCGAGTTCCAGAAGCGAATGATGGTTGATTTTGATGTATTTGCTGATTAGTTTTGGCCAGCTTCTAAGCTGCTTTGGCTCACTATTTATGGCCAGGAAGGCACAACATACCTTAAATGAATGAAAGCAGCATGGTGTGAAGGTGTATGTAATTGCCAGGATTGGCGATCCTGTTGTAGTACTCTTGAGTGTGTGTGAATAATTGTGCTCCATCCAGGCTCAGCAATGTTCCTGCTATATAAATATCCTTCACATCATCCTGTGGCAGCAAACAGTTGCGTCCCAAGGTTCTGTCTAACCTGCGTGTTCTGTTTTCCCCTTCTTTTCCTCTATTCCTCGCATCCTCTCCCAAATCGTTGAAGAATGAATGTAATTTTTTTGTTGTTGAGTATGTGTGCGTGTGCGCTTGCGTGCTTGGACGTCTTGGTGATTTCTGGCAACACCTAATGGGGCTAGGATGTTTCAGAGAGGTGGCTTGCTATTGCCTGCATCTGCATCCCGGCCCTGGCATTCCTTGGAGGTCTCCCTTCCAAGTATGTCCCACAGCCCTGACCTGGATAGCCCCAGCAAGCCCAATCTCGTCATATCTCGGAAGCTAAGCAGGGCCGGCCCTGGCAACTAATTGGAAGGGAGATCGCCAAAGCCAGGGCTCGGGAGGCAGAGGCAGGCTATCAAGCCACCTCTATGGAATGTCCAAACCTCACTTGGGGTCGCCAGAAGTCACCATGACTTCCAGGCACGCAAGCCCCCATGCACACAAACCCAACTACTTGGCAAGGTTGGCCCCGCTTAGCTTCCGAGATCTGACTAGATCGGGCTTGCCGGGGCTATCCAGGTCAGGCTGTAGAATGAATGCAATTTAATTAAGGAAAAACTTTTAATTTTGTCCATGTGTTTCAAATGGTTAAAAGCACAAACACAAAACATCTTAGACTAAGGCTTGTGGGTGGGGAGATATGTACGCCAGCCCTTTCTGCTCACAGTCCTTCAATTTCTGGTCCTAGCTCCATCCAAGAACGCCACGCTTCCCGGCATGGAAGAGAACCTCTGCAAGATCTGCATGGACTCGGTCATCGACTGCGTCCTCCTGGATTGTGGTCACATGGTTACCTGCACGAAATGCGGGAAGCGGATGAATGAGTGCCCCATCTGCCGGCAGTACGTGATCAGAGCCGTCCACGTCTTCAGGTCTTAAGGGGTGCCGGCAGCGGGACCGGCGATTGTCTTGGGACGCTTCTTCATTGTGACGGAGGGAGCATTGGCTCACGAGCACCCTGCCCGACATTCCTAAAAAGCTTGTGAGAGACAAACAGGAGGACCGCGGGCCCCTGAGTTTGTGTGGCTTCTATTTTGGTGCGCGACCATGTGTAATACACCACAGTGCCTGGAGAGCTGGAAGTCCTCAGTACTAGTCACTCAAACACAACCCCAATCTACCCCTTTCCCTTGTAAAGTTCTTGGCGAGGACTGGAGAGCTGAGGCTTTTCCCTCTCCAATGAATACACCAAGGTGGCCTAAGGAAGTCAGAGTGGAGACAGGGTTTGCTGCTACCAATTCTCCTCCTTCCTCCCTCTATAAAATATTCTGCTTCAGGTCATGCCTTTCTTTGTTGGTCTTTAAAAAGTAGATTTCAGGGGCTCATTCCTTTTCTGATTTTTTTTTTAAATGTAAACCCTTTTTGGTTCTTTTAGCTTGCCTTATAGTAGGTTGCCCCTTCTGTGGCTTTGGAGTTCTTGTATAGATGAGGTTTAAAGGAATCAGGGATGTCCATGAAGAAGCGTCCGCTGTGGCGCCCTGCCGTGGGGATTCGCAACTGTGAAGGACTTGAGAGAAATGTTTGTGTGTCTGTGTACTTAACACGGACTTCTTGGGTCTACCTCCTGGCTTAGTTTTTTTTTTTTTAAATGACTGTTAATCTTGTGAGCAAGTGCCGTGGGTTGCTAGGAGTTGCAGCAAGTGATGTTGGACTCGGTTCAATGTGCAACGTTCCGCGTGCAAGGAGAATCCCTTGGTCTGAGCCAGATCTCACCTGTGCAGTTTGTGTGGGGGTGGGTGGGGGAATGAAGTCAGAGGAACTCTCAGCATCCCCCTAAAGCCATTGTTGTGAAAGTGAAACCCTGCATTTTAATCAGCCCTCTGCCATGGTGGCCCTTTGCTGTTCAGTTGTGGTTTCCGTCTCTGATGGCTCAGCGGCATTTCTCAGCCTGGGATGAACAGATTCCTTGACTCTGCTGCAGGCCAAAGACAGTCCAAGCTCGCTCAGGCTCCGAAGCTTCGTTTTGCCTTAAAATGCCACGTTTGGCTTCTGAAGATGCCTTTTGTTAAGGGAAGCCTGTCGAGCCAGTTTATGGACTTCTGGCAGAAGTTCCATGCAGGTGGTTAGAAATGACGTTGCCAAAGGCTGTGTTTGTGTGTATGTGGGGGGGAATGTCTGTCCAACCAGCTCCTGCTGCCTCTTCTAATTTTGTGTGCCTTTTAGCAGTTGCTGTGTTTTCTCACCCACCACCCGTTCACAGTCCCACTCTTTCAGGAATTCAGAAAACTCTGCTTAAAGATGATGACGTTCATCTCCGTGCCCTGAGAACAAAAGACCGTTTCCTTGCCAATTGCTATGCACTCACTGTGCGGAAACACTGTCGGAGATCAAGGGTGGTCGGGAAGTAGCTTGGGTGGGTAACTTGGTTATGTTTTTGCCATCTGCTTTCACACTCGTATATTTATTTTCAAAGACCACTGGCCTTTAACACCCTCCCCCCAGAGGCCTTACAAGAAAAACTGCTCGTTTTTAGCAACAGTAGCTCAGGTTGTGTTGGCTGTCTTGGTGTACTCTACCTCAGAGTAGATGGGCTGATAGTGAAGGCAGAGGCTGCAGTCTGGAGTTGGCATCAAAACCCTCCCCCAATCGCCAAGACACTGGAGACAGCCTAAGAAAGTCCCTTTCAGAAATGTACAAATCCTGATGTTGCTTCCAACTCTTTTTTAAAAACTTGTGTAACCAGCTAGATGTTTCTGGTACAGAACGATTCCAAACCAAAGATGATCATGACATTGGCTGCTGCCCTAATTGCTCAAGTAGAGGAAAGTTTGGGTGTTATATTTTTAAAAAACAAATAATGCCTATCGCCTCTTAAAAAGTTGTTTGTGTTGCCGATAGAAGATGTAACAAAACAGACAAAATGGTTAAAAGAGATACCACTGTGACTCATTTTAAAATTCCAGGTTCTCAGCTAGATTCAGAAGCCTTGTTGGAACTCCTTGATTCTCAGCTCTTACCCCACCCTTGGGAACAGCTTTTTGCAAGGTCATGCTGATCTCTCCCCTCTTTTAATACCAGGCACCTAACAGTCAAGTGCACTGGAAAGGCAAGAGAGGTGTTCATATGATACACAGCAGGGGGAGTCGCCACCTTGGGCGTGACCCTCCATGTCTCTTGAGTACATCCCCATTTGGCCAACTTCTTCTCTAACGGCACCTTGAGAAAGGATCAAAACCTACCCAAGGTGCAGGGGGTCAATGGCTTTCCATTGTGAACTGGAGCAGAGTTATTGGTGCAGATTAATGGGGAGAATATGCAACTCCCCCCTTACAAAGTTGAGTACTCTGGCAAAAGTAGATGTTTTTGATCCAAAGAGTTTGGTGGGTTGGGACCGAAAGGAAGCTACATTCCTGGAAAACGTTTTGTATCAACACCTTGTCTGACCTGCTTGAAAGTAAGTGTCTTCTGCGAGGAACAGTGTGGGTTGAAAAGGCTAACTGTGATAGAGCGTTGTGCTTTATAATTTTGTAATAAAATGAAAAATGTAAAATAGCCTTTTTGTTTTTTGGTCTGTCTTGTCGTGCCTATCTTTTTGAGCCGGACAGCACAGTATCTAGCACTACCTCATCCTGTGTGTAGGCTTTTAGGGTATGGTCCCATGGAAGAATATGTAACGCTGCTCTTGTTTGTTGTCAGTACTGGTGCAAAAGCATCCGTTTGCATTCGAGAGCTCACTGGACCCCTCTTTCAGTATGTCATGCTTTAAGCAGTGAACAGAAGGAAACTACTGGTTGCCGGGACTGTTCCGGGCGTCTGCTTCTAAGAAGACAGAGGGGTGTTGATTATATTCTGTATGTTACCCTAACTCGCAATAATGGGCTTAAATTATAGGCAGAAAGGTACAGGTCTTTACCACAACATACCTGCCTGTGACTACACACTAACCCACAGAATTATATCTTGTCTGAATGCTGCTTTTTAACATGCCCTCAAAGGAGAAAGGGTTGAATAGGTACCTACTTCCTTTGGTGGTGGTTGTCAACTGCTACTGCTTGGGGGGGGGGTCATTTTAGGGGGTGAGATAGAGCACTGTAATGGTGCTACTGTGACATCTGCTGCTCAAACACAGGGTTACACTTCCTACAACTGACAGTAATTTACTTTAAAGCTTACTGTGCAGCCACAGGAAAAGGGTAGATGTAGTCCCACCCAATGTTCCCTCTTAGCTGTGGATTCCTGTGAGCAAAAATTCTACTTTGTGAGCTACTGGCATTAAAGCTGTGAGTGAGCGATTTGGCTACTGCATCAGTTAGCTTGCTCTGGAGCCATCCTTCCTGAGCTAAGACAAAAATGTGTGAGCCGGAGGCTAAAAAACTGTGAGCTGGCTCACACTAACTCAGCTTAGAGGGAACACTGGTCCCACTCAACGGGCAATTTGAGGAACTGAGGGAAGGGCGAGACACAGGACTGGGAGCACTTAGGCACACTCCTCAAG